AGGAGAGATGGGGTTTCACCATGTTGGCCAGACTGGTTCTGAACTCCTGAGCTCAGGTGATCCACCCACCTGGGCCTCCCAAAGTGCTGGGATTATAGGCATGAGCCACTGCACCTGGCAAAACTTGAACATTTCTTTAAAAAATATGTAAAATTAGCATGGGGTAGCAATTGAGGGTAGGGGAAGGCATGAAGAAAAGGTTTATGTAGCGACCTAGAGTAAATGTTGTTGCCTTTTGTTCAATTAACCTTATTTTTCTTTTAGTCCAAGTGGTAAGAAGTTCAGAAGCAAGCCTCAGTTGGCAAGGTACCTGGGAAATACTGTTGATCTCAGCAGTTTTGACTTCAGAACTGGAAAGATGATGCCTAGCAAATTACAGAAGAACAAACAGAGACTACGAAACGATCCTCTCAATCAAAATAAGGTTGGTTAATTTACCTGTCCCATGTATATGCTACTTCAAAAGCTCTCCAAAAAGTGTCTCACATCATAATTAAGTCACTGGAATTTTGGTTGTCCAAATGTCCCATGCATGTCCCCACACCTCTCCCACCCTGCCCCGGCAAGAGAGAGCATAAGTAAATTGTGCACAGTAGAAAATAGCATTTCAGTATCTCTCTAGGTCAGTGTACATCATACTTTCTGACCCAGTGGGGCTATTTACAAAAGGTTCCTTTGGTGTTAATTGTCTGCTTTTTTTTTTTTTTTTTTTCCCTCATATAGTTCCTGTTCTCCAAAAAGTAGCAAAATTTTAATGTGGCAGGTATCCTCGCCTCATAGTTTATTGATTTTCAGATTCAGGTCTTGAGAAAGGGCGGTGTTTTTTTGACCTTTGATGATGTTGAGGATAAAGACTTTTAGGAATAATATTCTAATACTGTGTTTGGATATTTTCCCATTAGCTCTTAGTTTTATCGAGCTGTTTGGTTGATAATTTACTGTATAGCAATTTAAGCCAATGTCATTTGAATTATGATACGGATTGAGCATTCCAAATCTGAAAAATATCTGAAATCTGAGACTCTTCCAGTCCTAGGCATTTCAAATAAGAGATACTTAAGCCTGTACTAATAATTTGATTGTATTAAAGGACCCAGTATCTTTACAAAGAAAGCTGCTTTTTCCCTGAGGACAACTAAACATATATGACTGTTTTTTCTTAGTTTTTCTTTCTCTAAACTTAGGGGATCTGTGTGTATGTGTATTGCTACCACCATTGTCTTCACATTGACAGTGTGAAAATAGTGGAGGGAGAAGTAGGGGCTCTCTTTCTTAAGATGTGACTAATATAACTTCCTCATAAGTCCCATGGGAGTGCTGTGTTCATTTTAGGAACCCATTGGGAGTGTAGTGGAGTAAAAAGGGCTTTGGACCCAGGAAGTCATGGTTTGGTGAACTGGCTCTGCTACTTATTAGCTGATGCAGTCATGAGAAGCTTCCTTAGGCTCCAAGGGCCTTAGCTTTCTCATTTGTAAAAATTAAGGTAAGAAAATTTTCCCCTTAGCATTGTTATGAGGCATAAATGGGAATTTATATAAAACATCTAGCAAAGTAAATTTGACCCATGTTAATTCCTTTGCTTTCCACACTGCTCTTTCCTAAGCTGCCCCCTTGCTGAGCACCACGTCACCTCAGTGCAGTGTTTCCTGGTGGCCAGCGTTGGAAACTTTCTGACCCAAGCTCTCTTCCCTTTTGTCATTTTACATTTTCTGAGGGGCATGGGGTCTCTGCTTCATACCTAACTTCATTCAGAATTCAGCTTAAATTTACAGTTTAAATTATAGTGCAGTTTATAGTAATGTCATTTCTCATAATTGATACAGATGTCAAAATGTACTGTTTCCGTATACCATAGTACTTTGCATTGGTTTTCATAGGGACATTGGCAGGTCCCTTGTTTACAGAGGTAGAACAGGAAGAGAGGCTAAATTAAATTGCCTCTGTATCGCTTAACTATGGGGTGGATTTGAGTTCATCATTATGAAGATGTTAAGAAAGGTAATAATAGCAGTAGAGGGAGTGCAAGTTAGCAAAAGTTAGGACCTTGTGTGTTTGTAAATCACTGTGATTTCAGCTTCAGGAAACCTTTATTCTGAGGTTACTTTGCTTCTTATAGGTATAGAGGAGAATTTAAGTTTATGTTTCTAAAACTGCCATCTTAAAACACAGTGCTGGGTACCTATAAAAGGGGCTTCAGTATTTATGAAATGAAGAGTTTGTTCAGATTACTGTACTGTTGCCAGAACCACAGTTTAGGTACATTAAGTTTAATGTGCAGATTTGTTTTCTGACACTTATGTTTCATCGAAAACCAAACACTAATTCATCTCTCCAGTTTGTGTGCACTTTTCTGCTCTAGCTGCGCTGGACTACTCATCGTTCTGCACCATGGCATGCGCTTTCAAGACTCTGCTTGCTCATATGCTGTTTGCTCTGCTTGGAATGTGCTTGCCCCCTTCCCCTCCATCTGGCGAACTCCTACTCATGCAAGACCCAGCTCCATTGTCTCCATCTCTGGGAAGCCTGCCCTGCATACTCCAGGCAGAACCAATCCCTTCTTCCATAATGCTTCCCTGGTGCTTTGCCGTTGTGTATGTGACTGTTTGTCTGCTTCAGCTAGACTGTGAGCTCCATGAGGGCAGGGACCATGTCTGTTTTTGTTTTTGTATATGTAGCCAAAGCCTAGCACACGGTAGGTACTTAATTAATATTGCCTTATGTTTATTTGATTTACTGTCCACCTCATTTCGGAAATGTATAGTGGTAATAAATGTTTATTAAATAAATAAATTATATACCAGACATTACTTTGGAAATGCCTTTTATTTTCATTGTTTTCTGAAGATTTCTGCCTGAAGTTTTGGAGTCATGGTTTTTTTTTTTTTTTTTTTTTTTTTTTTTTTTTTTTTTGCATCTATTTTATTTAAATAGAAAGTGGAGTTTTGCATTTTTTAAAATAAGTTCTCTTCGAAAGTAATACCAACAACATATTAGGTGGCTCTATAAAGCAGAAAATGTATTTGTGGCTAATTAAGTAATAACTGTATTATGTCTTTTTTATGACAGTACAGTGTAAAGAAAGCTGAGAGCTTTAAAGTAGTAGAAATCTGAGGTAATGTTTTGCTTTGTGGTTGTAAATCTGGCTTAAGTACATTATTGTATGGTTTTGTTTTGTTTTGTTTTCTTTTGAGACAGAGTCTCACTGTCACCCATGCTGGAATGCAATGGCACAATCTTGGCTTACTGCAATCTCCGACCCCCAGGTTCAAGCGATTCTCCCTGTCTCAGCCTCCTGAGTAGCTGGGATTACAGGCACCCACCACCACACCCAGTTAATTTTTGTATTTTTAGTGGAGATGGGGTTTTGCCATGTTGGCTAGGCTGGTCTCGAACTCCTGACCTCAGGTGATCTGCCTGCCTTGTCCTCCCGAAGTGCTGGGATCCCAGGCATGAGCCATCGCACCCGGCCTGTTTTGTTTTTTAAACCCTTATCTTGAAAGAATTAGAGATTTAATTGACAAAATAAACATTGAAACAAGCTAAATTATAATTTACATTAATTATAAGCTAAAATTTCAATATATCTTTCATATCAGAGGTGAATTACTAGTGATGAATTATATCTTTAGATGTGATTGGAAAGATGTCTTTTGAAGAACTCTGCAAAGTGGTTTTTAATTATTTTAGGATGGGTGGGTAGGGTAAAGTGGGCATTGTCTTTAATCTCTACTACTATTTTTGCAGTACCTGCTTCAGATATATCAAACTCAATCTTAACCTTACCCTGAAAATCTATTCCGTTCTTGATTACATTATACCTTATTGATTTTCTTGACACTGCCATAATTATTTCCAGCCACCACCACCATCTCTTCAGCTGACATTGTTGAAATAGCAAGCAGGTTACTGAAGATACTCCATTAGGTTAATGGAAAAAGACTAGAGAAAGATTTGGAAGTCATCAGCTGCGTTTATATTTGAAGTCACAAGCAGATTTCTTAGAGCTTACTTAAAGGGAAAAGTTACAGAGCAGCATATCCAGGAGAACATTCTGTGATGATGGGACTCTTTTCAGCCACAGCCACAGTTGGCTGTTGAGTGCTTGACATGTGGTTAGTCTGACTGAATAACTCAGTTTTAGTTTTACTTTAAATAGCCAGATGTACCTAGTGGCTGTCCTGTTGAACAGCACAGTTCCAGAGCTTTGCCTCTCAATATGCAAATAAAAACCAAACCTTTGCTTCAAAAGCTAAATATTGTTTAGGCATTTATGTTTGTTTTTAAAGAGGAGATGTTTCAGGATTTCACAGATGTGACTGTCAACATTTTTAGCAGGGAATTGGGAGGAGAGGCAAGATATTAAAATTTAATTGGAGATACTGTAGGATTGGATAAAGAAGAGCACAGTGATTCTAAGTGCAAGATATGTGTAGGGGACTTCAAGTGGCTTGGTTTGTCACTAGAAGCTTATTTTAATGTTTTAGATGTATAAACATACTGAATTTGTGTTTCTAGGTCTTAACATCAGATGTTTCATAAATCTACAAAACTAATAAAATTCAAGTTCCCTAACATTAATGTGACATATAACATATTTTACAAATTGCTTGCAAAATGAATATGGTATGGAATAAATTATTTTTTATTTTGGCTTGAGAGCTCTAGTATCTTGGAAAGACTCAGGTCTTTCATCACATTTCTCTATTCACCCAAAATGGATACATTTCAAAATAAAGAACATTATATTCTCTTGAATGGAATCAGTTGTATGTTAAGTCTGCCATTATTTATTTCTCATGAATTATCTTGGTTTAAAGTGGTAGTATGTTATCGTGAGTATAAACACAGTCTTGGATTGTATAGGGCTGTATACTAGGTTCTCAATCACGTGATCCAGAAAGTACTTGTTTTAATTATCCTCAATAATAATTTTTGTGGAGAGCTCATCTATCTTGGGGGCAATATCTGTGTAGTTTGAGAAACCCTTTGTGGTGAAGAATCAGATTTGGATATATAGAAGGAGGCACAGTATGGAGACGATTTGGAAAGGGATGAAACTAGAAGTAGGGAGAATAGTTGGCTGTTTTAGTCTACAAAAATAAGATGGCCTGAATTAGTCCTCTGGCAGGAAGTATGGAAAGGTGAGACCCGAGAAATTAGATATAAGTACCTGATGGTTACAGAAAGAGAATTGATGGCTGCAACAATTTTGGCTTTGGTCACTTGGGGCGGGGAAGTCAGGGAGTAGGGGAATTAGGGCAAGTTTGGGGTTGGAGTGAGGAAGATGGGTTAAAATAGTTTTTTTCCTTGGACTTCCAAAAGGACCTTGGGGACCCCCAGGAATTCTCAGGTCACACTTTGAGAACTCCGTTCCCAGTGTTTTGTCATTGATAATGCCAAAAATAAGGACAAATGAAGTGTATC